AAAAAAAAAAAAAAAAAAAAAAAAAAACACTTGGTCTGGTCCTTGGTCTGGTGCTTGTTGTGATGATTGGTCTGTGGCTTGGTCTGGTGGTTGGTCTGTAGACTCTGTCCGAATACGTGCATTGGGGTGCGTCTCTCAAAAGCTGGTCTGTCTGAGCTTAACCATTGTTGATTCAGCTTGATTGTGTATGGAGGTTGGAGGTGAAATGGTGGTTGGGCTGGCGCTTTCTCGGTCGGCGGCTTGAACTGGAGCTTGGTCTGGTGCTTGGTCTGGTTCTGACGCTGTCACTGGGTACGACAGTGTAGCACTGTCGCTGTGTCCGTCCCTTGGTCCATAGTGGGGTCCATTATTGGGCCTGTTGCTGGGTCTGCCTGGTGATTGGTCTGTGGGCTTGGTCTGTGGCTTGGTCTGTGGGCTTGGTCTGGTGCTTGGTCTGGTGCTTGGTCTCGTTCTGACTGTCTCACTGGGTACAAAAGTCGGGCTGTCACTGTGTCCGGTACGTGGTCCGTTGTTGGGTCTGTTGCTGGGCCTGTTTACGGCTTGGTCTTTTGCTATATGTGCATTGGTGTACTTCTCTCCCAACGCGGTCTGCCTCTGCTTGGAGATTATTAATCCTCGACGGAACTCTGTGTTCGAATCGTGTCTATAGGTGCCATGGAGCTCAAGGAGCAACTGTTCAGTCCAGTGGAGATTGTGAAACACATAATGCAGATGGCGATTGCAGCTACTCGAGAGAAGGGAATCAGCGTGGAGAGTTCCGTCGAGGAGGGAGTTCCCACGCAGGTAGGCGATAGTTCACTTGCGTTAAAAAAAAAATCACCAGTACATCCGAAAGTTAGCGGCAGTTAAGACCACCAGTACATCGACCAGCTAAAAAAAAAAACGACGGGGTAAACCGTTAACGCGCTGGGTTGAACGGAGGTCGGCAAAGAAAAGGACCGGTCCGACACTGGAGCTAGGCGAGCAACTGCTATTTGCATAGAGAAAAAGACAAAAGAACCCCCACCCCCCACCCCCAACTTTTTTTTTTTTTTTTTTTTTTTTGTTGGTCCCAAGGACCACGGATCAGATATTAAACTGGTCAGTACAGATACAGTGCACTTGGTCTTAGCCAAAACGCCGAGAAAGGTATTGAAAAACATTTCTCGATTATCCTACTTTGTAGAGAAAAAAAAAGAAAAAAGAAAAACAAAGAGAGAGAGAGAGAGAGAGAGAGAGCAAATGAGAATGCATCTTACTGCCCTATAGCGGTAGGTTCATTTTGGATTTGATACCACAACTATCGGGGGGCGTTTGTGTGTGTGTGTGTGTGTGTGTGTGTGTGTGTGTGTGTGTGTGTGTGAGAGAGAGAGAGAGAGAGAGAGAGACCCGGCGACTTCGCCGCGCCACTCCGTTCAGGTTGCGAGGTCTGGCAGAGCATTTGATAGGTCGGTGTACCACGTGGCATGGTCTGACATAGCATTGATCGGTCGGTTTACCCGGTGGCATATTTGCGACGTGGCATGGTTTCACAGAGCTGTTGATGTGTTCGCTTGTTTACACATGGCATGGTCTGACGGAGCTGTTGATCTGTCCACTTGTTGGCGGGTCGGTTCTTTTTTTTTCGCGGGATTGTTATGTATTTGGATTACAGGTACTTGGGGACGCTCTCCGAATCCGGCAGGTGATGAAGTACTTGGTGCTGAATGCCATCAAGTTTACTGAAGCCGGTCGCGTGAGCATTCACCTCGGCGTGGCTGACAAGGAACCGGAACGCGTCCGGCGGCAAGGGGTATCAACACCTCATGCGAATACCAGAAAGCGGGAGGACGTCCGCGATCCGTCCCATTGCGTTTCGTCAGCCTTGGATCTTCGGGGCGATGGGATTGAAAACAGTGGCGAGCCGGGCGACCACCCTCCTGCCACTATGAAACCCAGCCAGGCGGCCTGCACAAGCTCGGGGGAAAGCTCGGGCCGGCTACGCGCTAGCGGCAATGGAGCTGATGATAGTGAAGGAGCGGTCAGCAGCAGTGCGATCTCCGCTTCGGAGCCTGACGTCTGCAGGAGGACTGCGAGGGGGGGCGATGGGATCGACAGTGATGAATCTGGCGACTGCTCTCCTGGAACCTCTACGAAACCAAGCCAGGGCGGGTGCACAAGCTGGAGGGGAAGCTCAGGGAGGCTACGGGCTGGTGAGAATGGAACAAGTGAAGGAGCGGTGAGCAGCAGTGCGATCTTCGCTTCCGAGGCGGACCTCTGGAGGAGGACCGCGAGGGGGAACGCGGATACGGCGAAGGGTAGTAGCAAGTGGGGAAGTACAAGCTTGTTGCGAATGGGAATGGATAGCAGCAAGGGTAAGGGTAGTAGCAGCGAAGAAGGGCGAGGAGGAGGAGGAGGAGGAGGAGGAGGAAGTGGGGAGGTGGGATGGTTTACGCAGCGCGGTTTGCCTAAGAACTTCGTGACTGTCGACAATGCTGTCAAGAAGCAGTGGTTTCTTGTCGCCGGCGATAAGCGGAGAGAGCAGAGCAGTAGTTTTGGTTCCCAGGCCACCTGCGGCGAAGGAGGAGGTCTCTGCGCAAATCGCGCTCCCGAGGGCGCGGAGACGTTCCCCCCCGCCCCGAGAAGAATCGCACGGACTCTCTCCGCCGCCGCAAGCCCCCGGACTTGCTTTCTTGAGGGTTATGGCGTAGGGTATTATGCAGGATCTTCTCCGAAAGCACTCCGCCCATCGAGCAATGTCTCAGACATTCTCAAGGCTTCTCTGTCTCATTCGATGCCCGCCCGTGCATCCTCGCCGTGTGCAGGTTCTGTAACGGGGGACCCGGGATCGAATACTACTGCCGACGGTTTTGGCCCGCATTCTGGCAAGGGCGAAGGGCCTCCGGGAGGAAAGAGTGGGTGGACGGCAGAGAGAGGCTGTGTACAGCTGGAACTAGGTGAGGGTTTGAAGAAGTTGGAGCGGCGGAGATCGTGGGCGGGGTTCCACTGCGGTGCGGAGCTGGACGCTTGGGTGAAGCGAGGAGGGGAGCGAAAAAGGGCTGTGCGGAAATGCAATGCTAGTGCTCAGCAAGTAGATAGGTCGGGAGATGGGTCGACGGAGGAGGGGAGGGCGGCGTCGACGATAGCCAAGCTCAGAGGCGACAACGACGCGTCGCCTGCGAGCGAGCCTGGCGTGTGCTCGTCAACCGATGCAAACATTGCGACAGGGGAAGTGAAATCGACAGATAAGCGTATGGAGTGTCATCATTGGGGCCGCAGCGGCAGCAGCAGCAGCAGCGGCAGCGCTGGCGCCACAAAGGGCGGCGACCTCTGGCTATGGTGCGATATTGTGGACACTGGAGTTGGCATCCCTGAAGAGGTAGGTGAGTTAAGATATACGAGGGGATGTGACAAATAAACTAGGAGACTGCTCTCTTATGTGATTCAGATATTTTTTTATTTTTATTTTTTTTCCCGATTCAGAACATGTTCATCATGTAGATGTTCCCGTCTTGTTTCCTTTGTTCACTCTGTTTTTTTTTTTTGTTAAATATGTTCTTTTTCTCTTTTTCTTTTTCTATTCCTCATAAAGATTATGGCCTACGGAAGCCCCACGCCTTTCTCCGGTATCGATGAGCTCTTACCTGCTTTGCACTTTGTAGATCAGGCAGCAGACCACCTGTCTTGCAGCAAATCAAGTTAATCAACAAGCACATTCAACTAGAAGCAGACATGCAGAGTTGCAAACAATGCAAGGCAGGCACATTGAGTTATTTAAGTAATTTAAGTTCATAATAACTTCATATATAACTTAAAAGTTTGATTCAAACTTTGCGCAGTTCAATTCAGAATGTCAGTGCTCTCTCTCTCTCTCTCTCTCTCTCTCTCTCTCTCTCTCTCTCTCTCTCTCTCTCTCTC